TGGTTCCTTCTCTGCCTCCTTTGACCTTAGACACATCTCTCAGCCTCCACCTCCAAGGCTGGCGGAAATGGAGGCCACTCCTTCTCTGTCTCAGCCTCCAGCTTCTGGTTTACTGACGGTTGGTTGTGGTGTGCTTGTCTTCTTTTCTGCACCTAAAATGAAAGTCTGGGGAGAGTGCAGATGGGCTTTGTCTCTCGTGTATCCCCCCAGGACCCGTGGAAGACTTCGCATGTGATTAGCGTGAGCTGGAAGAAGCAGTTGCATGAAGGACGAATCAAAAGGGAAGTGCTGATGAGGAAGCGATTGTAGAAGTGGGGAGGAGGTCGCCTCCTATCTTCAATGGGAACAAAAAGGAATTTCAGAGTTGTTCAGAGCAATATGTATACATTAATTTTGACCTCTGTATTCTTGGACTTGAACGCACAGGTCCATGGAAAATGTCCAAATGGCTTTTCCCTGAACAATTTTTTGTTTTTCTTGCTGATTATGTAAGAAGGTCAGATGTGAATGCAAAATGAATCTAGCTTTCCAATCAGAGATAGGTCTTCTGCAAATACTATTAAATTTTGTTATTTTTCAAGCTATTGGTGCATCTGGCTTAATCTACAAAGAACTATTAGCAAACATGATTTTTAATGTGATCAGATTTTTTTTTCCACAGTGATGTAAATTGAGTTCTCTAAAAATGAAAGTAGAGGAAAATGACATCATCCAAAGCAGAGACGAGTCTTTGCCTTTTAATTTTACAGCACCAATACAGTTATTCCGCTCTGCTCAAATGGAGTTGTAAGCAACATAGAGCGGGCACCAAATAGCATGTTAGAATCTCTTAAAATAATTGAGTTTTGTTTGTTTTGGTTGATGAAAGTACATTTTAGTTCCAGAAAGCAATGGTTTTCTACTTAACACTAACCTTGAGAGTGTTTTGATGTCAGTAAGTATACGGCTAGATGTTTTTGCAATTTTGCCAAATTGCTTGGAATCTAGAGGAAAAAGAAAATCCATGAAACAAAATTTTAATTGATGAATTAATATTAAATGCTGCAAATTATCTTTGCCTTTTCGTTTTAATGAAAGGAGAGTAAGCACTGAAATATTCAGATTCAAAGCCTGCATGGCACAGATTCCAAGCTGGCCAGGTATCTGTCCCATGTCTGTCATGCACACGCACACAGAATGCTCTTACGTAAACACACGCACACACACACACACACACACACACACACACTTCTGATCACCTTATACTTTTGGAGGACAATCTTGGACTTTGCCAAGAAAAATGAGACAATCTGTGAGATGATCTGACTTTTCTGAGACTGAAGAAAAGCATGATCCTGGAAATCTCCTCATGAGCCGGCAATCTGCCCCGACTGGAAGACGGAGCCAATAGCACTGCTCACCTCCCAGGACCTGCAGCCTTTCTGTTTTGGTGACAATGGACAAGTAAGAGAAGAGGAGGGATGTGGCTCTTTCAGGGAAGATCATCCATTCAATGAAGCAAATACTGGGCATCAGTGGTGGGCCTGCCTCCCAGACGGTCAAGGGCCCAGCTGCTCCACTCTGCAACCTGCCATGGTTCACGCCAAGGCCATGTCCCCCTGGACTGCTCTCAGTGGGGCACTAAGGCAGGCCTCTTCCTGGAGCGGGGCTTCTTTTTGCAGCCTGGTTGCCTGGGACTTCCCCAACCTTCCCTCTTGCTCCTTTTCGCCCAGACCCTATCAAGGTCTGATGCTCTCCGTACCCTTCTTAGCTTCCTTCCTACTTTCTCTCCCACAGGCAATTCCCCTCACGAAGGCCTCCTGTATTTAATCCCGTCTACGTCTCTAATGACCGGGATTGACACAGCATCTCATGTGAGCGAAGTCCTCTTCTGTGATATATTTGATGAACAAAACCGTCAGTCATTTGGGATGGAAGAACAGCCCACTCGCATTCCTCTTTCCTTCTTCTTGGAGAACTGAAGGGTGGGTTCACAGGGGTGAGTGGATACAATGTGATACTTAGCATGAGCTCAATGAATACTTTTTGAGGTACATATTCAGTTTGTCAATGACTCTGTCAATTAAGACATCTTAAGAATCTTGATATCAGTAAAAGCATCTTTTTTTAAAAAAAATTTCTTACCTACATGACTATAGTGGAATGCATTACAATCATAATTATCCGTTCACAGCACAGTGAAAGCATCTTTAAGCAATGATTTATTTGGGTGGTGGATGCAAACTAACTCGTCAAGAGTAACCACCACATACCCAAAACAGCACACTGGGGATTCAGAACAAGATGTGCACATTTTGACGTCTACTCTTAAGGAACATTTAATCTAATTAGGAGGACAAGATTTATGATCACAAAACTATATGTAAGAATGAAAGAACTGAATGGGGGGCTGGGGATGTGGCTCAAGCGGTAGCGCGCTCGCCTGGCATGCGTGCGGCCCGGGTTCGATCCTCAGCACCACATACAAACAAAGATGTTGTGTCTGCTGAGAACTAAAAAATAAATATTAAAAATTCTCTCTCTCTCCTCTCTCACTCTCTCTCTCTTTAAAAAAAAAAAAGTTAAAAAAAAATTCTCTCTAAAAAAAAAAAAAAAAAAAAAAAAGAACTGAATGGGACCTGGTGAAAATATAGAAAGGAGACAGCTACCAGAATGTTTCTATACTTTTAGTCCAAATTTCCATCTGGAAAAATATTCCATCTGGATTTGGTTTGCAAAGATTACTCCCCACCTAGAGACTTTTATAGCTCTTGGTGAGTGTGGCCCTTGTCTGTTATGATAAAGATGACCTCTCTCTGACTGGCTTTCTGCCGCTGTGGAGAACTGACTCTGACAGTAAAAGCCTGCATTAGTCTTTTCCCCTGTCTCTGCCAAGCACAAGCAAAACTCTTGCTTCATGTGGAAAGCAGGCTCCAGGAAGTTATCATTTAATATAAATTGTTTTGGAGATGAAGAAATGGAAAAGTGATGAAGATAAGTTATTTGTCCAAAATTGCTGTCTTAGTCTATTTTCTGCTGCTATCACAAAATACCACAGACTGGTAATTTATAAAGAAAAGAAGTTATTAGTTTACAGTTCTGCAGACTGGAAGTCCACCAGTCAGTGGCTACAATTATGAAGAGCCTGTGCTGTTACAATACGGTAGAAAAGTGGAAAGACAAGCGAGTACATGCAAAAAAAGGAGGATACATCCCTGATATGTATTCTGGTCCCATAGAACTGCACTAATAGGTCATAATTACCCAATCACCTCTTAAATGTCCCACTATCTCTCATCATGATTATACCAGGGAACAAGTTCAATATGCATTTTGGAGGGGACAAACCATAGCAATTTAGAAATATTTGGTTAGAAACAGCAATTGATATCAGTTACTCCAAACAAATAAACAGAATTTATTATCAGGATTTAGGGGTATTCCATGGACTCCAAAGGGAAAGATTCTCTCTTGGCATCTCTCACCTACCACTTCATGGTGTTTGACTGGTGTTTTGGGCTGTTTAGAGAGCATCTGTATTCACTTCCAATTCTAGTTGTGAAAAAACTGGGTGACTCTCTTTGGTCCCTAATCCAAGTTTTTGGAGGAAATAATCTGATTGGTCCTAGTCTGAAACAGTTTTCCAACTTAGTTGAATTAGCTATTGCTGGAATCATGGGCTCATATAACATAAACTTAACTACATACCGGGATGAGGACACAGAAATTGGCAGAATTATTGTGAATTATTCTGGCACCCCCAAAAAATATCTGCTTAAAATTATAATTTATCAGCCAGGCACCGTGGCACACTCCTATAATCCCAGCAGCTTGGAGAATCATGAGTTCAAAGCCATCCTCAGCAAAAGTGAGGCACTAAGCAACTCAGTGAGACCCTGTCTCTAAATAAAATACAAAATAGGGCTGGGATGTGGCTCAATGATTGAGTGCCTCTGAGTTAATCTCTGGTTCCCCGCCATTAAATTATAACTTTTCAGCACATTGGTTCTAGAGCTGTGCAAAACATGGACACATCCATACATGCAACACACACACACACACACACACTTACACACACATATACACATATACACGTGTATGCATGCATGCCCACATACACACCGTACACATGGGTGCACATGTTTACATAAAGGGTGATTGTCAGGTGGTATGTACAAAGCAGGATAGATAATGGATCCCTCTGGGTCATGGTACAGATATTTTCCTCTGACTTTTTTTTTAAATATATTTTTTCTACTTATTGATGAACCTTTATTTTTATTTTTTTATATATGCGGTGCTGAGAATCGAACCCAGTGCCTCACACATGCTAGGGGAGCGCTTGACCACAGAGCCACAGCCCCAGCCCCTGATGTTTTTTTTTTTTTAATCTTGAAAATAGCTAGCAATTTTATCACTTTCAAGATAAATAAATAGAATCCTAATTTACATTTCATACCTGATTCCGTAATGTTTCAACAGGTTTAATAAGGTCCCAAAAGTCTAAGGGAAATTTTCTCTAGAGTATTGGAACACATTGTCCCTCCTCCAGTTTCCTGGCTTTAGGACTAATAAAGACAATGAAGTAGTCTGAAGATCTAACATGAGCCTTTTTCACCATTTCTGGGGTGCTCCTTTATGTAGAAGGCCAGGTTAAAAAGGAAGCTTCGAAACAGCAACAGTGATCAGAACAGAGATAAATGAGCAGGGAGATTAGCGCCGAGATAAGACAGGAAAACAACAGAATCAAGGAAACCAAAAGTTGGTTCAGTGAAAAGAGCAACCCGATTGACAAACCTTAAAATAGATTAAGACAAAGGAAGAAAGAGAAGATGCAAATAACTGAAGTCAGAAATAAAAACAAGGCCATTACAGGGGGCTGGGGATGTGCGCTGGCCTGGCATGCTTGCTGCTGGGGTTCCATCCTCAGCACCACAAACAAACATAGATGTTGTGTCCGCCGAAAACTAAAAAATAAAATAAAATAAAAATAAAAAAATAAGGTCATTACAACTGGTTATGAGAATATAACAGCTAGAACACCAACAAACTAGATTATCTAGATCGAACAGACAAACACCCAGAAACATACAAATTATCAAAACTGATTCAAGAAGACAGAAAAATCAGCAAGCTTGTAATAGGGAGATTGAATCAGTAATCAAAATCTTCCCAATAAAGTAAACCCTGGACCAGATGGCTTCCCCGGTGAATCCTACCGCACATTTAAATGGAATGAACACTAATCCTACTCAAACTCTTAAAAACAGAACCGTTTCTAACCCATTGTACAAGGTGAGAACTGGTGTGCTGTCAAAGCCAGGCAAAGATACCACAAGAAAACTACAGACCAGTCAGTACTCCTTATGAACACAGACACCAAAAAATCCCGGGAGGGGGAAATCATACCTATAGAGGAAGAAAGCAGATGAGGAATTACCAGCCAATCTCCCTGTGCTGCGCTTGGTCCTGTGATTCTTTCCCAGCATCCTGCATGGCTTCCTCCCCAGAGCCTGCACCATGCTGTTTGGACATTCAGCCTCCAAAACTGTCAGCTTTCTTTCAAAAAAAGAGATGAAGGAAGGAAAGAGGGAGGCGGGGTGAGAGAAAGGGAAGAGTGATTTTTTAAAATGGGTTTGCGTTATTTTTATAGGGCAATAAGGCAACTTTAAAATGAGGTAGAGCTAGTGACTGCACATTGTGAGTATACTAAAGACCACTGAATGTATACTTTAAGACGATTATAGTATGTTATGTGTCTCTTATGTGAATAATGCCAAGTTAAAGAACGTGTAGAATTGTGAGTTATCATGCCCATTTTTAGAATATGTAAATGCACACATATAAGTGTATGGACAACATAGATTAATCCTCAGATAATCAAAGGTGGATTACTTCAGACTTGGTCATTTACAGCCGTGCCGAAGGACATAAGCTGCCAATGTAGTCCCCTAGAGTAAGAGGTGCTCTGAGCCATTTTCTTCTGTCCTGTCATGATGGAAGCCTCTTAGGAGTCCATTAGCCGTTTTCCTTGTGCAAGGAAGAGGCTGGTGACTGAGACCGACCGGTAGCTCTCTTGTGGCTGTGTTTACTCTTCTGCAGTTGGCAAAGAACCTTCTATTGGATTTGCTGCAGCGCTTCTTTTTTGAAGCCTGGTGGTTTTGTTTCACAGATGCTCTGACACAAGCTAAGTCGCCGAAGAAAAGTCAGCACCTGCAAGAACAGAATTCTCTGGAAAGAAGGACAACTCACTGATGAGATCATCACCCTGGGCAGGGGCTCTGGTGTGGAGCTCAGTGGTAGCACACTAGCCTAGCACGCATGAGGCTCTGGGTTCAGTTCCCAAAAGTAAGCAAACAAATACAAGCCCAGGCAGTTCTTCCAAACCCTCACGGCATCTTATTTTTTAAAAAAACATTTTTATTAATGTATTGTATTCATAAATAATAGCGGGTTCATTTTGACATACATAGAATACAATTTGCTCCACTTTAGTCCCCAGTACTTTACCTTTCCTTCCTCTTTTCCCTCCCTTTGTTCTCCTTCCTCTACTGGTCTTCCTTCTATTTATTTATATCTTTTTTTTTTTTTAATTAGGGCTTTATAGATATACATAAAGGTAAAATTCACCGTGGTATAGTCATCTATGTACAAAGCATAATTTGACCAATCACATCCCTGTTTCTCCATTTTCTTGTCCCCCTTTCGCTCTCCCTCTCTACCCTTTCTCTACTCCACTTATCTCCTTTCTGTTTTTATGGAATCCCACTTTTCCCCGTTGTTTTGCTCTCTCTTCCACGTATGAGGCCAAGAAATGGCAAGAACCGGCGATGACTTCTCCAATTGGCATAAGCTATTCACATCCTAATTTAAAACCAACTCCTAGAACCCTGAAACTTAAAGCTTGCCACGTCCACCAGGTTGCACTCAATAATGGTTCTCAAGAACTTGCCTCTGCGGGTTAAAGCAACTTCCTTGCTTGAGACAGTTCCCAGATACTGAATTTGCTTGAATCTAGTGTATCTGCTGGACTTGGTGACCCTGACAGCCCAGACCCTATTTTATGGTCAGGATAATCCCCTGAATCAATCAAGCAAGGAAATACACACCTGCCTGCAGGCATCCTCCCCGCCCTCCCCTCCCGTCCATCCTCTGTTTTTTTTTTTATCTTTATCTTAAGTAATTTTATAAAAGAAGAAAAAAAGAAATGCTAATCGATTTACAATAGTCCAGGAATTGTTTAAACAATAAATAGTTTCGCATAGTTGTGATGTATTAATATTTTTTGTTCTACTTTCTTACTTAATGTTCCATTCACAATTTTTTTTTTAAATGGACTTTCACTTCATCTCAGTGGTAAAGGGGATCTGACAGGGCAAACTTTCCCCCAGAACAATAACAATGGGTTACTAAAATGGACGTTTGAAATAATGGAGATCAATGATCAAACAAATTTGGGAGACAATAAGTGAAATCTAGTATTACACAGTATTTTGTAGCAGACTCAATATGCATTTGCATTGTAAGTGTTTGAAACAAAAATTTGAAAAACTTCCCAAATTTATTTGATGAAGGTATTATTTTTTGTGTGGACTGAAGAGAAAGTAAGAAAGTGGGAGACGGGCAATGGAGAAATGAAAGGCAGAGACATGAGAGTTTATTTGTCAGAGCTGACAAATAAAGGGACATCCCTTAAAATTTTTTGTTGTTGGACCTTTATTTTATTTATTTATATGCGGTGCTGAGAATCCGACCCAGTGCCTCACACCAGCTAGGCAAGTGCTCTACCACTGAGCCACAACCCCAGCCCTCCAAAAAGAATTTTGAAGCCATTCCTACCATTGCGTATTTTAAGTTGACATTTAAAACTTTCACATGAGTTTAGATGGATGCAAAAATTGAACATCAAAAACAAAAACTGTTGCATCATTCCTTTAAAAGTTTACAAAGGAATTTCAAAATTATAATAATTTAATACTTACCAATATCCATTTTAAAAATGAACAAAGGTAGAGTTTCCTTGAAATTGTGTTTCCAATTCACTTTTTCCATGGCTTTTTTCTTCCTGTTACACAAAAGCTCGGTACTTGTCTTTGATGTCCATAACGAGGACACGGTTCTGAGGAAAGGAAATGGAAGTTTTATTGCTTTGCTTGCAAAGGAGAGAAACAGGGGCCTCCTGTCCCAGAGACTGTGAATCTGCCCATCAGGGGGAACAGGGAATTTTTAAAGAGGTGATTCAAAGTCTACATTCCATGAATACTGTCTGGAGCTGTAATTTATTTGTTAATTTGAAAGATAGTCATTTCTGAGATATTCTGGTGCCATCCCCAAGTCTGAATTACTTCATTCTTGTGGTGGGAGTGTGTCCAAGGACAGATAACTCTGCCTAGGATGGGGAAGAAAGGTAATCTTGTTTTCCCTGAGTTTAGGGAGGGGAAGGGATTATGAAGGGGGAGGGAGAGAGAGAGGAAGAGAAACATGTCATTTTAAAAAATAAGTCACAATGGCAGAGCAACAAGGACTATAGATTCAAAGTATAAAGTTGAGCACTGTTATATTCATAATACTCTTGAAAGTGTTTTACTGATTATCCCACCATACAAAGTGAATCTATGGAAACTGGAATTTTACCATTTCAAGGAAAGCATAGTTCATAAATATTAGATTTTTTTCCAGATTGAATTTTTATTATAATTATTATTTAAAACATTTATTATAATTATGGTATAATTTATATAAAATATAAATCTTTTATTGATATAATATTTCATGTTATATAAAATAATCATGATATTAAAATAATTATTATTTTGGTACATAACTGATCACAACACAAATATATTACCAATTTTAATATGTAACAAAACATAAAAGGCAAAATTTTATTGGAAATTAATCCCTAAATCAGACTAATTATGATCAAACATTTCCTATGCATTTAATGAAAACTAGAAAGCGCCAAAAGTTTAGTAACAGCTAGCATCGTATTTACAGCTGTTAGGAGGTAACAATTGTTATTTTATAAGACAAAACAAAGTCAAAGTTGTACCTACTTGAGTAAATATTTCATAATACTTGTAAAAGCAGTTTTTAACCATCACTTTGAACAAAAAGATACATCAAATCTGAAAGAAATTGTTCTGACAATCTTGTGTGTGGGTTTTAATCAATAAATCATAAAAACTTTGGCAGTCCCAGAAAACACGGTCATATTGAATGTCACTGGTGACATGAACCTCAACTTCTTCAAGTATTTGAAGGTACGTTTCTTTCCAGGTATGCCACATTCTAGGGATCAGGATGGATAAAGTCCAGGAAGAATACCTTATATTTAATTACAAACATAAACTGTTTCTGATAATCATTATTTCTGAGGACTGCTGTCTCTTGCTTCGCTCTCAAAGGATTAATTCTGGAGAGAGGAAATTCTGCTCTAGTAGTAGTAAGGAGCATGCACCAGGACTCAGCGATGCACTTTCTAATCGAGGGAATTGCCATATCAGATAAAAACTATTTGCCATTTTAGCTCCCTTGGGTGTCTCCATCTATAAAGTAATCATATGGGCCTATATGAGTCTGGCTGAAGATGCCATAATTCATATAAACAATTCCACTTCATGAGCATGTGCAGCACTTCCTATCTTTTTAACAGTGGTAACAATTTTTTTGTGTGTGTGGTATGATTCCCAAAGCTTTGGAATATTAAGTTAGAAGTTAGGAAACAAATTTGTTGCCCTTATTATACATAGTGACACTATTATACATAGTGACACGCTGTTGTCCAGAAAGATGGAACCAACTTTGAACTGACCACACTGGGTATTTACTCCTATTTGTTGGCTTTGCGGGTACTTGAGGGTCTCATGAAATTTCATATTTACATTTCTAAAGCTTCTGCTGTGCATTGAGTCATTGCCTTTGCTTCTGTGTCAACCCTCTGCCGGCTTTGATCCCGTATCCGTGAAACCCAGGTATTGATGTTCATATTTGCATTCACTCCTGGTGTTTCCCCCTCCCTCTGCACACAGGTTGTTGGCTTGCCATTGGTGCACCAGGGCCAAGGGTCTCATTATCAAAGGAGAGGCTGCCAGGGCACAGCTGCTGTGTCCTTGAGCCTCTTTGAAGTCTAAACAGAAAACATTTCAGTGCTTATTTAGCACAAGGTTAGTTCTTTCTGTGTTGTGTGTAAGCAGAGTTAACTCCTGCCCTTTGCATCTTATCAGTCCTTCCTGGGACCACTTACGCAATGTTCCATGTTTGAGAAGTCACCCAAATTCTCAGCGCCTGTGAATTCTAATCACCTACTCCCCAAAGCCATTTTGTTTTTGTGATACCTTTCTGTTCGTCCAGTTCAGCCTGACTTATCCAGAGTGAAAAGTGAGAATCTGCCCCTCCCACAACCCCTCCAGTCAACAGCCTGACACCATCCCTTTGATGCGGGCACCCAAGCTCTGAGCTCCACCATGGGCTCTTCCAGTCATTTCCATGTGGACTCCATCCTGGGTAACAGGAGCTGGAGAAAAGGGAAAGGGAAGTTGGTTTCCTGTGCCCGGATGTGGGCTTGCCACTTGTTTGTGATAAAACTCTGTGGGGGCAATAGGGCTTAGGGAAACTTTTTCTTTTCTTTTTTCTTTCTGTCTTTTCTTTTGTCACAGGTCCTTGTTTGAACATAGAAAAAGAAAAGAGGTTGAGGCATTTTACAATACAGTACATGCATAACGATGTTTTGGTCAACGATGAAGCACATTTACAATGGCGGTCCCCTGAGATCATATCACACAAGATTATATTACCTAGCGATGTCCCATCTTTGTCCATGTGAGTACACATTATGCTGTTTGCACAGTGACGAAGCTGGCGAAGGATGCACTTCTGAAACTTCACCTGGTTCAGTGACACACAGCTGCACTGTGTCTTTTTCAGTCACCATCGAGAGGCAATCCAAGTCCAGATTCCACCCTGGGCCCCTCCTGCTTTCCAGAGGAATCCACTTGGTGCAAGGCTGGCTCCTGGGTGTGTCAGTGAGGGCTTTGGTCACCATGATCAAACAGTGAGGACCCCGGTCCCCTTAGAATATTTTAAAAACAAATCTCATTAGTAGGAGTATTTA